CCATTGCATTATTTTCGCTTTTTCATGATTTTTACAATTGTGTTAGAGCACACAGCACTCGATGCAACATTTACCAGTGACTAAATAACTCCGCGTCTCCGACCATAACTGCAGCGTTCCCGTGAGCCTGTTGGATTTCTGTCAGCCTGTTGAGATTATCTTCATCTCGTCACATGTGAGCCTGTGTGTTTCATCCGTATCGTGGCACAATTACACAGACACGATTTCCAACTCAGGCCGGTTCCGTTGCTCGAAGGGTTGGCGGTAAGAATTGCTACGCCGTCTGTGGCTGCATGGGAACTTGGCGAGTCGTTGTCTTTCTCCATAAATCCTGATCGTCACGCGAACAACAGCCACTATTGCCTAAAAACTACGACACAACAGTATCAAGCTCGCCCCAGCAGAAGGACACGAATGACGAGCGCTAAGACGGAGAAAGAGAGACAGGGTTAGCGAGAGCTGACTAGTGCAGGTACGCTGTCACCTCCTGAGGTGGTGGGCGAAGCAGCGAATTGAAACGAAGGAAGATAGAACTTATTAGAAGGCATACGGAGGCACCAAAACCTATTGCCTGTCACATACTAAGTGCCATTTAGGGTTGACAGCTGTCAGCTGACAGCCTCAAAAATTTGAAAATCTGCTCAAAAAACTCTCGATCAGAACTCTGCGCACTCTCAAATGGAGCGCACAGTAAAAAAACTCGGCGACGAAGAACGCTTCGTATCGACGCCCTGGACTGAATTCGGCACGTCCAACAAACGGAATAGTGTTCTCTGATATATTCTCTACGTGCTGGGTATGGTCGCGTTTAGTTGGAAGCTCAGTGCATCACCACTTTCGATTTTGAGACTTGGCCGATGGACTAATCGGAATCAGTGCCCAATTCCCCTTCGGATAAGCCATACTTATTTTTGGCGTTCAGTTTCCCTTTAAGTGATGACGTCACAGTTCCTTCGATACGCATAACAACGATCCCACTGGGGACAAACAAAAGTAGCGTCGTCTCCACCGTACCGAACCAGTTGTCAGTGGCAACATATAGGAATCGTGTACATTTCTTCGTTTCTTCTTTGCTGTTTTCAGTGAGTGTTTTGTTTTCTCTTTGTCCTTGATCTCGACGATGTTGTCGTGCTCATTACCTTACTGAGACGTCTCTTGTGACTGTAGCCAGTGTCACGGAGGATTTTATTGGCGTGACAAGGTAGATCGCCGAGATCGAGCGTGAAAAACGCTCTGCATTAGTAGCTCCTGTAGAATGTTTTCTGGGATGGCGCATCCATGGTCAACAAAACCAAGGTGCAAGACAGCATGAGAGATCGTGTCAACGATGTGAACTCCAAAAGGTAAGCTCCTGAACAAGTGGAAAGATAGGTATTTACAAACTCTCTCTTCATCCATCGATTGCCGCTATGCATCGCATTTTGTCTTCACAGATAAACTGGCCAAATTTATTGTAACTAGAGAGTGCAATCGTGCTTGGGGCCCATCCCAATGTCATCACATGGCTGTGGTGACTAGTGTATATCTGGGAGAATTTTTCCTCGACTGATACGGAGTGCAGGTGGATCGATTATGAGAAATGCGAACATGTGAAGTAAGTAATTAGTTGTGTCGAAGAAATGTGCAATAAAACGAGAGAGCTTGGAAGCTCAGGGCCCTACGCTATGCTTTTTTGCTTTGATGACCTAGACAAAAGAAACATAGGGATGTTTTAAATTCTTATAAGTTTCTACTTTTTGTTTTTAGACATAACCTGGGATTTGAACCCGCACTATCGCCCTGCATGCATCCCCCGATACACTTCGCATACATACTAATTCTTCCAAGTTGCTTCACGTCATGATTTTGTATTTGAAAGCCCTATTTGAATATGCATTGTGGCCAGCCTTCTTTGAATGTACGGTACGGTACGGGATATGTACGGTACGGTACGGGATATGTACGGTACGGGACAGGTACGGGACAGGTACGGTCGAGGGTAATACGACACCATCTACCGCCTTGATGACGGCAAAAAAAGAAAAGGGATGTTATCAATGTTTCAATTTTTTCAGGCATTACCTGGGATTCAAACCCGCACTATCGCCCCACATGCATTCCCCCATACACTTCGCATTCATGCTCCTTCTTCCAAGTTGCTTCACGTTATGATCTTGCGTTTGAAAGCCCTATTTGGCAGCTGTATGTGGCCAGCTGTGTTTGGTGGTACGGTACGGTACGGGACAGATACGGGATAGCGCCAGGCGTGACACAAACACACAAACAAACAAACACCAAATTAAAGCTGTGTGGACCCTGGCTAGCGCCAGACATTACTGAAGTAACGTCTTCTGCATAGCTACGGGAATAAAGTTATTATTATTATTATTATTATTATACGAAGAGCGTGTTCGTGAGGTTGAACTAAGCATTTCCAAATCAGCCAGCCGAAAAATAAATCACCGATCCTTTCGCCGAATACGCAATTTTCGCACTGAATTCGTCGAAATCGATGTTTTGGTACCTCAACAAAATGCAAATACAACTATTTCTGTAGCCACTATCTGCGGAAGGTGACTACCACTTTAGCGTGAATTGCCGAAAATGGTCAGCTGGAAAAGACGCTGAAATCAATAATTTAAAGAGTCGGCGTGGAGAAAGCAATTTTATTAATGCAACGAGAGAGCTTGGAAGCTCAACGCCCTACGCTATGCTTTTTTGCCTTGATGACCTAGACAAAAAGAATAGGGATGTTATAAATTCTTATAAGTTTCTACTTTTTGTTTTTAGACATAACCTGGGATTCGAACTCGCACTATCGCCCTGCATGCATCCCCCGATACACTTCGCATACATACTAATTCTTCCAAGTTGCTTCACGTTATGATCTTGTATTTGAAAGCCCTATTTGAATATGCATTGTGGCCAGCCGTCTTTGATTGTACGGTACGGTACGGGATAGGTACGGGAAAGGTACGGGACAGGTAAGGTTGAGGGTAATACGCACCATCTACCGCCTTGATGACGGCAAAAAAAGAAAAGGGATGTTATAAATTTTTCAATTATCCTTTTTTTCAGGCATTACCTGGGATTCGAACTCGCACTATCGCCTTACATGCATTCCCCTATACACTTCGCATTCATACTCGTTCTTCCAAGTTGCTTCACGTTATGATCTTGCGTTTGAAAACCCTATTTGAATATTGCGGCCAGCTGTATGTGGCCAGCTGTGTTTGATGGTACGGTACGGTACGGGACAGATACGGCATAGCGCCAGGCGTGACACAAACACACAAACAAGCACCAAATTAAAGCTGTGTGGACCCTGGCTAGCGCCAGACGTTACTGAAGTAACGTCTTCTGCATAGCTACGGGAATAAAATTTACTTTACACTCAAACATACACTGTAGATGTACAGGTAACATCATGATAATGATTCCATCTTCATTGTCCCGCAACTGGTACACCATACGCACCGAATACATGGTGTGTGTGTTGCGCGCGCGCATGTACATGCACACACTCTCATGCGTGGCCGAGTCGGCCAGATGAACAGACCATGCATAGGTGGTATAGGCACACTATCGGACCAGAAAAGACATTACTGATTGTTAAAACGTAGAGGAGCACGACTGATGTTCTACAAAGGTTGCCTAGTTTGCCCTTCACTCAGAGCTGACACCATGTACTTGTAGAAGCTTTGCACTAGCATAATGATGAATTGCAGTACACGAAAAGTAGCTGAATGACACCATACATGCATTATCTGCATGGAGTGCTGCAGCGCTAGTCGATTCATATCCAGCATCCGGAGTCGAACCCCAGGGGCGATTTTGAGCTTTTTTACGCGTCTTAATTAAAGTGCGGCTAGCACACCCGGAAAATATGGTACTGCTCAATGTGCATGGTGAGTTTAGCAGCCGGAGCTGGAGTGTGCGATTGTTAGTCAATTGCTACCTCAGCTAGTCATGAAGACAGACAACCAACAGTCATCAGAAGAGACTACTCAGCTCTATTTTCTCTAAGGAAAATAGAAAGGACAAAGGAACTACAAGTTACGCTATAATGTCCGCTAACACCAACAAAATACTAAACAATCAGCTCATGCGATAACATTGCACGACACTGACCGACGCTACTGACGTTCAACTAACTGGCTAAAAGCTTTAGCGAATCTTGGATGCGCGGCACTCCAACAGCCTTCCAACTTGGAAGGTTAAGTTATATAAAACACATAAGAAGGGGAAGGTGAGCGCAACCAAGATAATCACAAGCTGAAAGTCTCAGCTGTGAAGGACGTTGGCGGATGTTTATGCATGTCGATAACGATACTGGCAAGACCATTGCACAATACGGTCAAACCACGATTCAAGAAGGCAAAGCACCATTGCACACAACTTGTTACCGCATGAGCTGATTGTTTAGTAACTGGTGGTGGTAGTGGACATTATAGCGTAACTTGTAGTTCCTTGGTCCTTTTTATTTTCTATAAATTAATCCTAGGCTCTCCATCCGAGTCCGTTCTTGCAGACTTGATGAGCCGTCTTTATTTTCTCTGCTTTTCTTTTTTGGCTAAGTGTGGCAACAAGACAGTTAGTGATATTGCGCCTATTGGTGCACTCCGATACATCTATGTAAAATACCAACCTACAGTAAAGAAATGGACCAAGGAACTACAAGTTCCACTATAATGTCCACTAATTTATTAGTCCGAGTCTATCCTTGCACAGAATATCAACCGTTTTTATTATTGAAAATTGGCACAAACGCCAAGGACATCAATGGATAGTGTTGGTCAATGGAACCTGAACCCGCACCCACGGCCGCTCCTTTACACACATAACATTCGCTGGTCGTACTGCAGTGCACATTCTGCAATCAACGCGTGTTAACGTTATATTAAAGGGAGCGTTTGATTTTAAGTAGATTATCTAGAGTTGCAGCGAAGATTGGTGTGGATGTGCATTACTGGTGATTTGCCACTTTGCTGAGTATTGCTTTCACCTATTTTGCTCCGCAGACTCGAACAACAGACCTAACTCTTGATGACCTCGTCAAATTCTCCACTGAGCACCACCATTTGCAACACTTGAATTTAGTTCGTATAGCCACTCCTCTAAATCCACAAGTGGACATTGCCCAAATCTTCCACATGGGCCAGATGCCCTGGCTCTCATTCAAGTGCCATGACGATGATTTGAGTGCAGACAGGTTTGCGGGTATTATTCATATTGCTTCACCAACGGTAAGCAAGAGTGTGTGCGTGCGTGCGTATGTGTGCATGCATGTGTGTGTGTGTGTGTATGTGTGTGTGTGTGTGTGTGTGTGTGTGTGTGTGTGTGTGTGTGTGTGTGTGTGTGTGAGTGAGTGAGTGAGCGTGTGCATGCGCGGGTGGGTGAATGGGTGTGGGTGTGTGTTTGTGTGTATATGTGTGGTTTGTCTGTCTACCTGTCTGCCTGTCTGTGTGTCTGTATGTGTGTCCGTCAGTCTGTGACCTCTCTCTCTCTCTCTCTGTCTCTCCCTCTCTCTCTCGCTCCCTCTCCCTCTCCCTCTCCCCCCCCCCCCCTCTCTCTCTCTCTCTCTCTCTCTCTCTCTCTCTCTCTCTCTCCAGGTCGTTTCTTTTTTCGGTTGAGGTAGGTGTGCGTGGTTTCATCCCGGACTCTCTTCAGAGGGCTCTGAAAGCGCTTGGGTTTTCTAATCGAAGAATAAAATTTATTTGTAATTTGTGCAGTAAGACGTCTCTGCAAAGCAGCTACATCATCTGGTTGCGACGTCAACAAAAACACTGGTCGGAAGATCCACTTTTCTGAGGTACTGTATGTGGGGCTCCGTTTATTGAGGTGCGTTGAAATTTATTCTCTTTATCTTATTATTTCTTTTCTTTAATTTCCCCATATGAGTTCCTATCAGTTGCTGTGAACACCTTGAGTGGAGAGCGCTTGCTCGAGCGTTGAACCGGGTTCTTAATCCACCATACCCAGTTCGCAAGGCTGGGCGGGGTTGTGAGCAGGCTTTCATTTCATCTTTTCTTATTATTTCTTATGATTTCTGCTTTTCATCTCATTACAAAAATTCTGCGCATTTTTTTCTCCATCTGCGCATAAAATCTAGACTGACAACCTGCTTGTTAAATCATGCACCTGCTTTCAGGCGTAAAACCCTGTTGTAGAGGTCTCAGTCCTCATTTGTTAGACTTACCTGTCTTTATAAATGTAACTTACTCCAGTTCCAAAAATTACGCCTCGGCGTTTTCACAGGCTTTTGAGATTAGCTCTCTCCTGAGTCTTTTAAATTGCTTCAAGTTCAAATAGGAAAAAAAGCCACCCATGGGCTCCGAAAGGGGGAGGAGGATGAAGCCCTAGACACTACGCATGCACCACACGAACACGCTGTGTCCCTAGACGATTCTGCTGTGCCATATGACGATCCGTTGGGTTTGACCTCAAGCCAGCGGAAGCACTCCAGTACACGGCATGACACAGGTGAACATCATACATGTCCGAAATGTCACACCACCATCAAACAATAACATAACCTTGCACGACATATGCGGACTAACAAATGCAAAACATTGGCTGCATCGCAGGCTGGAGCTGTGTCAGCAGTCTCTGCATCACCACCATACGAGACTCCAATGACTTCAGAGGCAAGTACACCAACCATTACACCATCAGACCGGGAAACAACATGTCCACACTGTTTGAGAAAACTCAAATGGAAACAAAACTTGCCACGACATCTACAGACCTGCCCGGTCTACAAAACACTTTCAACCACCTCAGCCAAAGCAGACGGCAGTAGCGGGGATGGTCGGACGACTTCCATGATTGATTCAATGCACTTCAGCCCATCTGTAGGTCAGACAATGACTCCTGGAGATGAATTGCGAACAATCCTGCACGAATCCACTCCCTGTCATAATGAGTCTTTACTTCATGTCCTGAATCAACGGGACATGGACAAGGTAGAAGTCCGGCAGTCCCTACTGCTACCGTCAGCCAAAAACACCAAGGCATGGCACACAATAAATGCTCAGTTGAAGATCCATCTCACTCAACACTTCCCAACCTCATACCTCAAAAGCACTAACATCGAAGAGACTCTGGACAAACTAGAGAACTTCATTCACTGGTTTTTCGACCAGAAACCACCACCACCTCCACCAAAACACAAGAATGCAAATAAAAACCGTGCAGTGGAAAAACTCCGGGCTCACAGGCGTGATTTAAAGCGCCAATTTCGTAAGATCAAAACCCGGACGAAGTACCTGCAGCGCTCAGAAATGAGTATTTTTCAATTGGAAAACAAATCAAGCGTCTTTTGAAACAACAAAAGATGTACGACGATCGATCCCGGAACAAGAGGGACCAGGATGCCTTTCTCAAGTACCCATATGCCTTCGGAAAGAAATTGTTTCAACCAACCAACCATGTCAAACCCACTTTCTCTGACACTACCTGCTTTGAGTACTTCCAACACACATATGCAGACCAGGATCGTGCCACTTCGTACGAATCCTGCCCCAGTGCAGGGAAGCCCCGGGATTGCACCCACCCAGTCGATGAGGGGACCCCTACATGGACTGAATTTCAGAATGTTTTGAAGAAGTGTCGCAACACCTCTGCACCGGGTCCTGACAAGATACCATACATAGTTTGGAAGCTTTGTCCCTCCCTTCAATCCATTCTTTTCACCATCTTTGGGCGGGTTTGGGAGAGCAAGATCATTCCAAGGCAGTGGCAGGTAGCGTGTATCACACTCCTGGCCAAGGGGGAGGTGTCTGATGATCCTTCGAAATTCCGACCGATTGCTCTAGCAAACACGTCCGGGAAGATCTTTTTCACCTTAGTTGCAAAGCGCCTCTTGAAACATATGCTAGGCAATAAGTTCTTCGATGGTGACAACCAGAAAGGATTTATGCCTGCAAAGGCTGGGTGCTTAGAGCATACGTCATCACTTTGTTATGAGGCAATGCGTGATGCAAAGACGGCAAAACGCCAAATTTGCATTGCGTGGATAGATTTGAAGAATGCATTTGGTTCAGTGCGCCACAATCTGATACAGTATGCTCTAACCCACTACAGCCTTCCTTTGCAATTCAGAAAATTAATTTTTTCCTACTACGACAGTCTTTGCGCTTTCGTCGTACAACCACACACTCCCACCTTTAATTACAACATTGGTGTTTTCCAGGGGTGCCCCTTGTCCTCGGTCCTTTTCAATATTTGTTTCCAGCTTCTGCTGGACTCACTTGCAGCCCCTGAATTAAGTTGCCTCTCCTATGATTTTAAATCTGCCCCTTTGCAAGTGTCCCAAACAGCTTTTGCTGATGACTTAGGCCTCTATAGCAAATCTAGTGCAGGTTGTCAAAAACTCATTGCGGTCACGGAGGACTTTCTCTCGTGGACCCAATGTATGCAGGCGGCGCCGCACAAATGCAAAAGCACTGCAGCAAAGCTTGTAGATGGCCGGTACAAACCTTACGATCCCTGCCTGACGATGTCAGGGAGGAAGATTGCTTTCATTGACACTGCAGAGTTCAAGTTCCTGGGGCGAAGGCTGCATGCTGATTGCTCTGAGCAGACCCAGCGGGAAGACATCCGTCAACTCCCTGTGTCTCTCATGCAAAAAGTAGATGGCTCTTGGCTTCAAGACCACCACAAGCTATGGCTTTACCACCATCTTGTAGTGCCCAAGCTTTCTTGGTCTTTCCAGGTTCTTGAACTCACACAAGGTTTTGTACGTGAACTGCACTTTATGTGTTTACCGTTTCTGAAGAAATGGTCAGGCCTACCTCGATGCGCAAACTCTGCCATTCTTTTTATTGGCAGTTGCAAACGCTTTGGCTTACGCCTCCACTACTTTCCTACGGTGTGGAAAAAGTGCCAGTCCATCAAATGGCACATTCTTCGATCGAGTGGGGACGCACGCATGAGGGCGCTGTACACTCTGCGTCGGAGTAAGGATGCGAAGCTGACAAAGCGATATGCGGCGACAATAGAGCTGGAGTGTGCAGAGGCATCAGTAGGTTCAGGGACTCCCCGTCCACCGTCATCTTCAAGTCATCGTGCAGGGTTGGGTGCTCGTGCTCCGAAGCAGCATTCCAAACCCCCGAGGAAGGATCTCCTTCAAACATTTGAGGAGATCAACGCGCAGGAGCAGATTTTGAGGCTGAAGACTCTTCAGGTGCAAAGCAAGTGGTTGGAGTGGACATCGGTGATGTGGCAGGATCTTTCGTGGAAATCCCTTTTGTACGGTGGTACTGGTAAGGATTTGAAATTTCTTCTCGCATCAACCCTCGACGTGCTACCTTCTCCGACGAACCTACGCCGTTGGGGAAACACCGTAGTGGATCCGTACTGTAGTTTGTGCCGTGCCTGGGCCTGTACTACGCGCCACGTGCTTGGCGCTTGTCGCGTAGCGCTGGACCAGGGACGTTACACCTGGAGGCACGACAACGTACTCGGGGTCATCGTCAGGAACATGCGTGAGGAGATTTGAATCCGCACTGCTGCAAACACCGTACAAACCGAAAATTCAAATGAGCTTGACTTCATCTCGTTTTGCAAGGCAGGAGAGAAGCCAGTTCGCGTTCAGCCCAGACGAAAGTTGGTTACGACTGATCTCCTGTCAGCGGCCTCAGACTGGAACCTTCTTGTCGACTCAGTTAGTGCAAAGATTTCTTTCCCTAGCTGTGTTGCACTTACCACCCTAAGACCAGATATAGTTCTGTACTCTACGAGTCGTAGGATTGTATTCTGGATGGCGTTGACAGTTTGTGCTGAGAACAGATTCAGTGTCAGTAACTCGCGGAAGGACAGGCGGTATGCGGATCTGGCCGATCAATGCCGAGCAAACGAGTGGCAGGTCGTTTCTTTTTCGGTTGAGGTAGGTGTGCGTGGTTTCATCCCGGACTCTCTTCGGAGGGCTCTGAAAGCGCTTGGGTTTTCTAATCGAAGAATAAAATATATTTGTAATTTGTGCAGTAAGACGTCTCTGCGAAGCAGCTACATCATCTGGTTGCGACGTCAACAAAAACACTGGTCGGAAGATCCACTTTTCTGAGGTACTGTATGTGGGGCTCCGTTTATTGAGGTGCGTTGAAATTTATTCTCTTTATCTTATTATTTCTTTTCTTTAATTTCCCCATATGAGTTCCTATCAGTTGCTGTGAACACCTTGAGTGGAGAGCGCTTGCTCGAGCGTTGAACCGGGTTCTTAATCAACCATACCCAGTTCGCAAGG